CATTTTTTAATCAGACTATTTGGAGATTTTTTTGTTGTTATTGTTGAGTTGTAGAAGTTCCTATGTATCCTGGATATTAATTTCTAATCAAATAAGTGATTGGCAGTTATTTTCTTCCATTCCATAGGTTGCCTTTTCACTCTGTTGCTTGTTTCTGTAGACATTCAAAAGCTTTTAAGTTAGATGTAGTCCTATTGGTCTATGCTTTAATTTTGATGTCTGCAGTTTTCTTTTCATAATCAAAAATCATTGCTGAACCTAATTACCTTGAAACTTTTCCCCTGTTTTTTCTAGGAGTTTAACAGTTCTATATTTTATATTTAGATCTTTAATCCATTCTGAGTAAAATCTTGTGTATGGTATAAGATGAGAGTACAGCTTCATTCTTTAGCATGTTAATATTTAGTTATTAGTTTTTATTTCTGTTTTTTTTTCAAGCAAATTTTTTGGAAGGGCCTGTTTTCCCCCCGTTGTGCAGTCTTGGCACCCTTGTCAAAAACCATTTAGCCATTAGTGCAAGGGTTTATTTCTGGGCTGTCTGTTCTGTTCAGTTGGCCTGTACATCTGTTTTTATGCTAGTGCCATGTAGTTTTAATTACACATACACAGTAGAAGTGGAAACCAGGGATTAAGAAAGTGAAATAAAGATACAGGGGACCTCACTCATTTTCTATTGTCTGAATGTCTGCTCTCCCTTCCATGTGCTGCGGTTCAGTTTTTTATCCCTTTTTAGGAAACAGTCTACTGAGTGCATGAGTGAGTGAGCAAATATACCCAGCTAGATATTTTAAAAAATCATTTCTGTCTATTTCATGTACTTATATCATGTCTGGGTTTCCCAGGTGGAGCTGTGGTAAAGAACCTTCCTGCCAGTGCAGTAGACTTAAGAGATGTGGGTTTGATCCCTGAGTTGGGAAGGTCCCCTGGAGGAAGCCATGGCAACCCACTCCAGTATTCTTGCCTGGAGAATCCCATGGACAGAGGAGCCTGGTGGGCTATAGTTCATAGAGTCTCAAAGAGTCAGATGCAACATAGGTGACTGAGCCTGCATGCATAGCATGTCTACTTTAAATTTGATAACATTATTATTTTATACACATATTTAGTTCCTGGTAGTAAAGTTGCTTTAAAGTTCACTTTAACTCAAATGAGCATTTACTTTTACTTGTGAGAAAAATGTTAAAAAAGTTTACATGATTGTTGCAAAATTCAACCAAAGAAAAAAAATCTAAGGCCATCATTATGATAAAATTACAGCTCTACAAAAAACCGGAACCCAAAACTTAAACGATCACAAGGAAAAAAATTCATAGTCCTTTATAAAACCAGTCTTTTAAACTCTCCAGTATTTCTGAAAACAGCTATTACCAGTAGAAGAACTTTTAACTAAGAAATCAACATTCCTCTGGCTCATTTAGTGGTCTATCTTCCATCTGTATTTTTGTACTTATTAGGGCATGATAATTCCTCACAAACCTCAAAACCCAAGTACATCATAGTTCTCTTTCACCATAAAGGCATGACTTAGCATTGATTTTCAAATGGATATGTTGAAGGACTTTTCTCATTTTGCTTACCTCCAGCCCCCTCCTACCTGCCCAATTTACAATCTATCATTAATTCTCCAGCGAATCAGTCTTATTAAAAAATAATAATTCACATGCATCATTGCTTTAATCCACGCATAGGGCTGTTTATCCAGAAGGAGACAAAATCAGAATCACTTTTGTTAGTGAGATAGTCAAGGGAAGTTCCTGTTTTAAATTCACCCTCTTTTGACCATTTCCCTTCTTCCTTTAGGCACCTTCCTGAACATTTAATCAAACTAAATTCTAAGCCATCTCTCTTGATAGATACCTTTTCTTAGAGAGAAAGGAGCACAGGCAGGAAAGAAATATCTATGAAGCCACTCTTGAATTAGTTTTGAGGCAGAACTGATGTACATTATCTTCACGAAGTTACAATTTTTATTCCTTGCTCACAGATGAGGGTTTAAATAAATTAAAATACAGAAAAAATAATATCTTTCTCATGTATGTATGCTGCAAATGACATGCTTTCTTCTATTCTGCTTCCCTAGAGAGGATGTTTCTTCTTTTCAACTGTTTCAGATTTCAATTACCGGATCACACTAACTCAGCGTTTTTAACAATGTGTATTGCTGACCACCAGTATAAGATTCCCTATGCTCCTTAAAAATGTGGAATCCTATGTTGCATGACTTAACCAGGTCTGCATATCTGGGGCATTGTGCTAGTAATCTGCATTTAGAAAAGCATCTGAACATGCTGATTATACACTTGAGATGTTGGAAAGCATTCCAGAAACTGGTGTGGGAGTTGAGGAAGCGAAGAGAGAAGAGCAGATAAAGAGTCTCCAATATCTTTTCCTCCCTAAGGCTGTCACAATGCAAGAAAGAGCAAATAGTATCTTCCCTCCTCCAGCTCTGCCCTGGAGAGATGGGGTTTGGCCTCTAGAAAGGGGAGCTGCCTGTCCCCAAACAGGATCTAGCTAGTGTCTTCCTCAGATGCTTCTATAAGAAATGTCACTTTGTGTTTAACTTAGTCCTTGTCAGCCATTTTAAGAACTACATAATATACATGTCTCTGGGTTGGGAAGATACCCTGGAGAAGGAAATGGCAACCCACTCTGGTATTCTTGCTTGGAGAATTCCATGGACAGAGGAGCCTAGTGGGCTACAGTCCATGGAGCTGCAAAGTCATCTAGGACTTAGCTACTAAACAACAAAAACAATATGCATGTCATACATCAGTCTGCCAGATAATGATAGTTGATAATGGTCCTTTGATGATAAGCCATTTTGCCATAAGATAGAGTTCTCTAAAAATGTTCTGTTAAAACATATTAAATACTTTAGAGAAATGTTGCCTTTGTTTTAGACTCCTCTGAGACTATATATGTGCGTCTCCACGGATGAGTGATCTTTGACTGCACTTTTGGCTCCAAACATATGCTTTATTGTTAACTAGGTAAGGTAGAAGTTATAAGTTATATGCCTTATGGTTCCCCATTGTATAGAATCATGGATATCCTTTTCTGTATTATAAATTCTAACCTTATGTTACAAATATATTGGTTTCAAGATAAATTGATCTTGTAAATCTCACATTCAGAAACATTTGTATATATTCAACATTTTCAGTCCTGGGAGTGATCTGCCATTTTTACTTACAACCAGTGAGTGATTGCTGAGATCTTATAGCTGCTTTTTATTTAATAGAGTATCACTGTGTATAAATCAGTAAAACCAGCAAGAATGGAAATAATGACAAATATCCAAGGAAGTTGTGAGATTTAAATATTGTAATGCTGTGATTAACAAGAAATATTCTTTGGTCATTCAGTTGACCGAAGTATATTTCTTACGTATATGTATATATTTGGTTCTTACCCCAAGGTTTCTGACTCACAACTCCTAAAGGCTTTGGAATTTGCTGAATAAGAGCAATAAAGTTATCTTCTGTTATGTTAATAAGTGATTTTGGAAAGCACTTAGGTAACCTAAGGGGGAGGGGGCACTGGTTGCTAAGAGACCCAAAACGTCAGGAGAGTGTCTGAACTTTCAGTCCCTCCCCCTCACCTCCTGGGAGGGCAGAGGTACTAGAGACTGAGTTCAACTGCCAATGCCCAATGACTATGAAATGAAGCCTGCATTAAAACCCAAAAGGACAAAATCCGGAGAGCTTTCTGATTGGTGAACCTGTGGAAATTTGGGGAGAGTGGCATGTGCGTGGAGAAGGCATGAAAGCTTAGCACCCTGTTCCCATACCTTGCCTTCTACCTCTTCAATCTAGCTGTTCCTGAATTGTACTATTTTATAGTAAATGAATAATCTAGAGAATAAAGAGCTTTTCCATTCTGTGAACCACTCTAGCATATTCCTCAAGCCTAGGAGGGGGACTTGGGAACCTCTGATTTATAGCCAGTTGCTCAGAAGAACATGTAACAGCTTGGGCTTTTAATTGGCATATGAGTGGGGAGGGAAGGCAATCCTGTAGGACTAAACCTTTAGCCAGGACAATCTGACCCCATCTTTAGGCACATGGTTTCAGAACTGAGTTGGATTATAGGAGACACCTGGGATTTGCACACTTGCAAGTACATATTGTAAGATGTATTTAAAGACTCTTTACAAGTGGATGCTGTAAGCAAATAATCTAGTTAATGAAAAATTCTATTTAACATAAGCAAAATATTTCAGGCTAGAGATTTTTAAAATTCTAATCTATTATTTTATCTATTTTTACTGGAGAGATATGAATTTCACAAGAAGTCAAACACAGTGATGCCATTTGCTATGTTTTATTTTGCTATTAGCTTGTTAAACATAACATGCAAATAATCAAAAAGAAACATACACATGACTTAGGGGGAAACATAATTCTAGAAAAGAAAAGTTTCATTAGGTAAGTATATATATATTCTTAACACTAAAAATACTGCTTTAAATGTATGTAGTTTCATGATTTTTGTCTAGTATTTTGCAGAATTATTGGTCTCAAGATTTACCATCTATTTTTCAGCTAAACAAATTTGAACATTGAAATGTGAACATTTGAGCATTGAGATAGTTTGCTTCAGGACTGTAAACATCCATATGCATGTAATCCATGCTTTTTGACACATTAAGATTTAGAAATTATAAAACTTGACTTTCATGAAACCAGTAAAAAGCTTTTCACATCATTTGACAGTAGAGATGTAAAAAACACTAAATTTACAAATAAAGCATTAAGTTTCTTGTCAAGGCGTGTGTGTGTGTGTGTGTGTGTCTGTGCTTGTGATGAAATAGGCCTGCCTTTCATCTTCTCTTTTAAAAAAGTAGCAAAATGTTTACAAAACATTTTCCCTTAGAATTAGAAATTTATGAAAGTAATAAACAGCATCAAAAAATGAATACTATAAAAACTGACACAAATAAACATAACCATAAACTGCTGCTCCAGGCTACACCTCAATGTAATTGGAATCAGTAGACATTAATTAACAGTGATCTCATTCGCGACACGTAGACATTCATACATATCAGGCGGCAGACTAGTCTGGGTGATGCGATTGCCATCCAAACGCAAATGTTTGATCTTGGAGTAGGATAGGGGTCCCAGGATCTTACAGAAGCTCTTTACATCAAACTCTGGAAAATTAAAGAGTGAAACATTTCAATCTTTTCTTTCAGTACATGAGCTTGAAGCCATCATTTAAAAAAAGAAAATCTTTAAGTCTATAATAATATCCAATAGGACATCTCCCCACTTATTTGATGTATCTTTGAATTTAGAACTATTAAAGGAATATTTCAGATTTCCAAAAGCCCAATAATATTTAGTAAGGAATACCTATGGTTAAGACAGAAGATTCAATTAATGTTTGAAGGAACAGAACTTAAGTTCTTAATGAAACGTCTTTTTAGTATTATTTAAGTTCTTGACTTAGAAATACTGTATTATAGAAAGACATGCAGTGAGCCTATCATGTTATCTAAGCATTATTTTGAAATATTAAGTCGAGTTTGAGGAAATCTAAGATGGGGTGCTGTTACATAAACAGTCTCAGCAGAGTAAGGATTCTGAGTTTTTGCATCTTAAAATAAAAAGGGTTAAATAGATGAAATCTCTAGAGAGTTTTCCAACAACCACACTTCATGACAAAGATTCAAAACTCCAAAGCAAAAACCAAATCATGGAATATCCACCATCTCAGTCCATGTCCTTTTCTTCTGGGCTCAAAAAGTTGCCACAAATGAACATCTGATTTAGTTTTTAATGGACACCAAGATGGTTACTAGATAGCATGACCTGTGTATGTACATTGAAACCGCCTATGTTGGCACAAATCTAGTTTAGATTAACCTTATGCTGGTCCTTTATCTTGTTATTTTTCTTTCATTTTTCAACTGTAGCTAACAGTGACTTCAGTTGAAGCCCAAACACACTGCAGTCTTTCCCTCTAAAATGTTGTCTTAAATTACTCATCTGTCAAATTCCAGGGATTTTTCTTTCAGTACTGCCTCTGAGAAAGTATGGAACAATGGAAAAAACATGGGTCTAGACCTATATTAGTTTTCTATCTCTGCCATTTACCTTCTGAAACATTTATCAGAGTTTCAAGTATAACATATCCATCACACTGTGTGGCATGAAGATTTCATCAACTAAGGTATGTAGAGCACTTCACACAGAGCTAGCACATTACTGTGTACTGAATAATTATTGGTGTCCTTTTCTTTTTCTCTCTTCTAAATTGCTTTATACTAGGAGGATCTGTGACTAGTTTAATGCTTGAAGTTGCAAGTTTGAAAAATGAGAAATAGTTTTTGACTGTACATTTCCTAATATAAGAAAAGCATTAAGGAACTCTCTTTATCTTACAATGTGGGCAACTGGTATGTGTAAATATTATGCAGCGAGATAAACTAAGTTGAAGACACACGTGCAAAGTCACATGACAAGAATCCCTGAAATGTGTATACCTAAGTGTCAAAGATAAGGAAGGGAGAAAGGTCACTACTCACTTGCAAATGACTAAACGTGCTGGGAACTGGAATTACAGTCTCAGCTTGGCACTGAGACGCTGCTGGCATCTCTCTCTTGGTCTATCTGTCCCATCTTCTACACTGGCTCTTTCCTTTTTACTCATACAATGAAAACTGATTTTTCCACTTTCAAATGCCCCTGCATTTATATCTTTCTCTTTTCTTGTCTCAGAGTAGGAGGTAGCCTTGCTCCTGTTAACCTCCACCCACCAAATCTAATGGATTTCTTCAGCCCTCAATCATCTTAAATTCCATTAGCATTTTGGCCTGTCTGAGTATCCTTTTTCCTGACCACAAAAGTTTATAATGTGGGACCATATATTGCCACATAGTGAATTTTCCCCTGGAAACAACTCTAAGGGTTTAGCTCTGATAGCCTGACTGTATTGCATGACAGGCAAGCTTTCCAGATGCAAGAAAGAAGACGTGGCATTGCAGAGCTGGCAGTCACGATTTCCTTCATGAGAACACCCCAACTCTACTAGGAGTTACATGAAACTGTTGCAGAATTATAAAGTAGCATATTAATAAGGCACAGTGCAATTTTTTTCTGATAGGAGTGTCAATATCCTTAGCCAGTATGACAAGGGGACCAAGTTTTATAATATACACATGCTCAATTTCAATAGATTATTTTGCACATAGAATTATTTACTGTGTGAATCAGTGTTTCCCACCTGAGTTTTCATTTTAAAAACTTCATCTGTGAATTACAGGTTTTTTTCTTCTGCCAACTTCCATTAAAAAATAAGGTGAAAAAAAAATAAGGTGAATATTGGTGAATAGTCAACTTATGATCCGAATCTTAATAGCTTAAATTGAAAAATGTGCCAGGAGATCAGGAGAGTGCATAAACAGCCCAAGTGGATCAGGTCAAACTCCTACCCAGCAGATAAATGAAAAATAAACTATAGAAGTAAGAGAAAGGAAAGAGAAATGATGGGGAAATCAAATGCGGTTGTGTGTAAGAAAAAGAAGCTCTGTAATTCTAGTAAACTATATTCCAGATGCTTATCATAGTCCTCCTTAAACTTTCTCACAGTCCTCACAAGAAACACTGTGAGCACTGCACACACCACCCATACCAGGGAAAACAGAAATGGATGATGGTCATGATGGCAGAGTAACATGTTGAGTGCCAAGTGAAGACGTCAGAGGAGACCATGAGTGGACACGGCTGCTCTGGGGACAAGTAGGAGAGATATGTTAAAGTCTCTGATGATTGTGCCTCCCCTGGACTTGAATTCTCCCTTAGCTACATATTGTCAAGAAATGAATGCAGACACAGATTGAAGTCATGAAAGAGGCAAAGAATAACAGATGAAAATCAAGAGTTAACACAGTAGAATTAATTAGCTCAGAATATTAAATTTGAAGAAATGAGTGTTTAAATTCTATATGACCTTAATAATTACTTATCTGGATACTCTAAAGAAAAGCCACATACTGGATAAACAACTAAGCTAGAATTCTATATTCTAGAGAAATATTTTGTTGGCATTTTTAGTTTTTTTTTTTTAAACTGGAGCCAATTTAATATTTGTGTCACGTGACTTAGGTATTTAAAACCTTGAGGAAGTATCAATCAATCATAGGCACAGTTTTCTACTTACTTTCAAGTTCATTGACCTCCAGGTAATAGTTTTCAAGGTTTTCATTGACCGTCGGTATGCTTTTCAGCTTATTATAGGAGAGATCCAGCTCCAACAAAGATGAAACATTAAAAGAATTTCCAGGTACTCCACTATCAGCCAGTTCATTATGAGACAAACGCAGATACTGCAATGCACTGAAACGCTTGAAATACTCGTCAGGGATGTTGCTAATCTTGTTGTTGTCTAAGTAGAGAGTTAGAAGAGATACTGGGAGACCAGAAGGTAGTTTGGTCATCTGATTGAAGCTCAAGTCAAGGTATTCGAGTGACTTCAGACCTTTCAAAGCAGCTGAAACGGCATCCTCTTTCAGCTGATTGTGCTGAAGGTGGATAAAGGTCAGGTTAACCAGTCCATCAAAGGAGCCAAGCTTAGAGATTTTGTTGTGAGTGAGCTGCAGGTCCACCAGAGATTTGGGAAGTGGGCCCACAGATTCGGTCAGATTGTTGTAATTTATGTGCAGCTTCTTCAGTTGCTTCAGTTTAGAGAAAACTTTTCCTTTGATCTTGGAATTTTCTAGAAGGTTGTGGTCGAGAATGAGCCACTGCAGGTCAGTTACGTTTTCAAAGGCCTTGTCATCAATATGGTCAATCTGGTTATTCCTAAGGTAAAGGTACTTGATTCCAGGAGGCACCATGGGCACGCTCTTCAGTTTCAGCTCATCACAGTACATGGCTGTTGGATAGCTTTCAGGGCAGTTACATTCTGGGGCACAGTTTGGTGATGACCTCCCGTATATTGATTGGGGGAAATCGTAATAATCATAGTAATCAAGATAGGTGCTGCTGGCACCGCCAATTAATGCCAAGAGGAGAGGAAACACACCTAGATTCATTTTGGCAAATGCTTTGAATCCTAAATAAAGTGAAAATATGTATTATAAAATAGTATTCTTTCAGGAAAAGTATACTAAGAAGAAAGAAAATGCATTCGCAAATGTGAATTTTATTATTTTAGAGTGCTTTTTTACTGCACTAATGATGTCTGTTTAATTTGCGTTTAAGGATTAGGATAAGAATGTAAATTTACAATGTGTGGGGAAGGGAACAGATTCCAGGACAGAGTGCATACACTGGCGCCCCCTTCTGGGCGAGCTAGGCCTAATTGCTCCAGTCAACCTCTCTCCAGGCCCTTTCTTTAATTACATGGATTCCTGCAAGAGGTATCTGGGAGGTGCCCATTAACCACCATGTTAGAGCGCAGCTTCAGAATACCTTCAAAACCAGAAGAAATAAAAACAAGAAGACAATTGTAAACTGGACGCTCTACCCCACCATTCAACATCATTAAAATATCTCATTAAAAAGATCCTTCCTGAGAACATGGGCAGTCTGTGATTTTGTCTGGAAGAACATTGTTCTTATGTGTGTCTGCTGGAGATGGTTGGGGGTGGGGGGGATGATGGTGATAGTAGTGGTAGGGTGCTGGGGAGGGTGGAAAATTCTTTTAGAAATGTCTTTATTGCTGACTCTGAAGAAAGGAAACAGACTTCTTAAGTGGGGGTTGTGCATATTCTGTCAACTTTTGTTTAACATTCTATACTTTTAAGCACATTACAGAACTCTGAAAATTAGTATTTAGTGCATTAGTTTTAGTAAAATTATTGTTTGTTAAGCAAGGAAATGTCACGAACTCTAAACAGTTTTAAACCTAGAAAGAGATCCAACTGATAGAGAATGATGTTCTTTTCAAAGTTTTGAATGAAAGCTTTTCTTTCTCTCAGTCACTCACAATTTGTCTATGTTCTTCATGTTAAAATTTGAGAAGGCAGGATTCGCTTATCTGGGTTTAAGCACTATTACTGAATGAAGATGGGGAAGAAGGGAGGAAGGTCTGCATTAAACAGTGGGCATTAAGAGCCATGTAGCAAAGGATCGATTTGGGAAGATACATTTAAAACAATTTGTATCAGTGATCTTCACATGTACCTGTTGTTAAGGTGAGGATCAGTGAAGCACATTTCAATTGCTTGGGAAGTAAAGGGTCAGCAGTATAGGTAAAGGAAAATAGGATATGAGTTGGGCTTTGGTGGAATGAAGAGTTATAGCTGAGCAATTGGTCACTCTGGGAGGGAAGTTGTTACTCTGAAGCAGCATCCACATTCCAGTGGATACCATAAAATAAAATCTCTTCCTGTGAGAAACAGGTACAAGCTTTTGGATCTAGGTAGTTTGGGATAAGCAGGATTTTCTGCTTTCAGAAATTTTCAACATCTTTCTTTAACTTGGAATTATAAAATACTTAAATTTAGCAGATGAAACACTCAAAAAGATTGTTAGGATCACTCTTATAACAGACACAATGTAACACATAGCCAGACTGTTAGTAAATTATTCCCTAAGATTGTGATGGAGTCATTAAATTTAGTTGACAGGACTTGGCCATGAGAACAATTACATAGTGCTAATGTAATTGTAGGATTCTTTATAAATTACAGTATATTAATGCTGTAAAGATTTGTCTTACTTTATTAATAAGTCCACCTTATTTTAATTCAGTATACACTAAAATAGACATGGGAACTATAATGTGAGTACTGAATCGTAATGAAAAATGCTTCCATATTTTTTGGCAGAGTCAAAACAAGGGCTCTGAATTCAAAGAGAGTTTGTAACCATATAATGACTCCATTATGAAACAAAAACACTCTTTACTTTCCCCTAGTTATTTCAAATACCTGTGGCTATGAAGAAAAGGCTTTTTTCCAAACAGTAAATCATGTTTCCCAGAATTTGTTTAAAACATATTCCTGTTTCTTGAGACATACATCCACAACCCAAATCTTTAAAATTAACAAAATAAACTTAAGTAATCCTTTTGTTCAGGTTTTATAACAGCATAAAATGTTTACAGCAAATCATAACAAATTATAATGACATACCAGTTGCAAAATATTTTGAATACTGATCGAAATGGCTTTCTTTGTTCAAAACTCAGTTCTAACAAAACTAACATATAGAACTACTTAGCATAAAATAGCAAACATTTTAAATGCCATACTGTTTCACTGTGTCTACTCTCTAGTGAAACCTTGAAACTTTTTATAACATCCTTTGCTAAGGAAGGCATTATAGGCTGTATAAAATATATCTCAAATTCATAAATCATGGAAAGTAGATTATGCAAGATGTGAAAATAAATGCTCAAAACTGGATTTGCTCTTGAATAGAAATTGGCAAAGTTGCTCTGGAATTTTTTTCTGTTCTTATTACAATAAACACTGTCCCAAACCTTCAGCATCCCCGGTGCTATAGTTAAAACAGCACTTACCTTACTGTCTGGACCCTGCTTTCGTTAATTCTTAAAGCAGATGCACTATGGACAAGAATCCACCAATATATGCTGTAAACTCTGTCAGGACGGAACTGGCTGCCAGATTCTTAGTGATACAAGAGCTGGGGGGGGGGGGGGGTGGTGGTGGAAACCCAGCCCAGTCACGCCAGTCTCTGAATGGAGTTATGTCATTGTGGGGATCTTGTGGTGTGGCATGCAAACACTCTCTAACGAGGTGCAGGTGGGCTTGGTGAGCAAGGACAGCCCAGCTCACTCCCTATGGAGTAAGAGATACGTGCTGCTACTGCTGATGCTAAGTACTAACCCAGCCCAAATAACCTAGCTTTTAACCCCAAATGGAGTCCTGCTGCAAATGAGGTATCTGCAGTGAGAATGTTCTCTTACAAAGCCCATTACTTCTATAGCTGTGACAATTGAATGCAGTTCTCTCAGGCAACTATCATGTTCCTCCAAAGGTCACGTACATCATCAACTGAATAAACCATCTCAGGAGAATGTAAATGAGCAGACTCAGGAGAATTGAATCCTTTTTGCTCATTACTCTTGAAATTTATTCTCACTTGGACCAACTTAATTTTTGGCCAAAAGAGAAACTTGCATTAGTTTCGAAAATATTAAAATGCTTCATTTATACTGTGATACAAGTGATAAGTATCAACATTTCCAGTTTGCTTATGTTAAGCAGACTCATTTTATGCTCTTCAGGTCTGGAACCAATCAGTAATATTCTGCCTGTTTCTTATTTTGTGGATTTAATTTAGGAATTCATCCAAAACCTGACTTGGGAATAGTATTCTATAGCTTATTGCCAAAAAACATAAAAGAACATGAAAAAATAAATGTATACTAAAAATATCACAAAGTAATCATTTTTCACTGTCATTGCATGCTAGCAATATATTTTTTTTCAAAACTGAAAGTTATGCTAAGTTGCATTCTCCCAAAGGCCTGGTTTGACATATGTTTCCTTATCATTTCCTGATGCAGGCTTCTAGAAAATGAGAATCTACTCAATTCCTTGTCTATTTCATTTTGTGATTGTATCAGCTTTGCAGCTTCTTTATATGATTTTTCCATCCAAATTCTTCATTTCCTCATGTTTATAAGAATTCTTAGAATCAGATACTTTGAGTTGCCACATTGTAAGATTTTCCCTTTTCAGATAAATATGTGACATTTTAGTTATGAGATTTTTGAAAATTAATTTAAATCTCCATGATCATTAATGCATTTGCCTGAAAAATTACTATTAGTGTAAATGCCTCATTTTTTGTCAGAGAACAGTTTAAAAACTAAAAACAATCTTCTTCGAAGTAACTAATACAATTGTAAGGTAATTTGTAGCATAATATTTTAAGAAAATCTTAGAAAGACCTCTGTTTTACATTGGTCTTCACCAGTAGTTCAGTGGTAAAGAATGTGTCTGCAATGCAGGAAATGCGGGTTGATCCCAGGGTCAGAAAGCTCCCCTGGAGAAAGAAATGGCAACTCACTCCAGTATTCTTGCCTGGGAAATTCCATGGTCTGGGGAGCTCTTGGTGGGCTATAGTCCATGGGGTCAGACAGGACTGAGCCACTCAACAACAACAACAAACACAGTTTTACAATAGAGGACATAAATAAACTTAGAAGAAATTAAGAAACAAAAGGGGTAAATTGATCAGCCATATATAATTAAATGTCTCATTGTAAGAAGATAGCTAAGACAATACTAAGCATTAGTGTTGTCGACGTCTATAACCTGCAATTTTGTTTGAAAAATTCCAGCTATATATTCCAAGGATTTTTCTTTTGAGCAATAATGTGTTGTCTGTAACAGAGTTCAAATGCACTAAGTTGGATTTAGCTTATTGTGAAGCTGATATTGTCCATATATACCTTTTTCTATAAAATTAGTTCTGTGAGGCCAATAATTGGATACGATTGCACATTTTAAAGCATATTTCTTAGGCTTATTATAAAGAAATGAAATTAATATTTGCAGTGTATCTAATTTATCCCATGCATAATTCTCCAAATGTTCACATATTTCTAAGTTTAAATTTCATGCTTTAAAATCCATTAAATATTATTATCACATTTTCAGAGAAGTAAAAATGGAGACTCAGAAAGTCTAAATAATTCACTGAAAGTCACCTAACAAGTAAGTGGAAAAACAAGAGCACCTTCACCCACTGGAAAGAGGGTGGACACGATGGAGCTAGGAAAAGGTATTTAATTAAAGTATTTTCTAGGCAACATTATTAACAGTTGAGAAAATGCATAAATATTAGCCAGGCAAAAGTTTTTAAAAGGCACAAGTTTATCTAAGCAATGGTTTCTTTCTTTGTACTTCACATACTCACATTCTCCCATATGCACACCTTAGACCTTCTGGGTGAGGTTTGAGCTTTCCAACCCAGTGAATGGAGATTAGGTCCTTTGCGGTAATGGATGTGGGAGATTTCATCAGAATCTATGTTAAAACGATTGAGTTGCCACGTCAGCCTATCAACTGGACTCCCTCTGTTACTTGAGACCAGCACGGATGATGAAGAAAAT